ATGTTCAAACTTTTTACCGGGGAAAGCATTACTCGGTAGTCTTATATGAAAATGCTAGCTACAACGAAGGGTTTAAGTATCAAGCACCGACACTAAATTCAGTTTTGAACTTTCAAATGTTTTATAATGAAATTGAGCTTTTCAAAGTATTTCAATAATTATGTCGCTTTCTTTCATGAAGCTTCTTCACACTGTGAAAACAATAGTACATCTGTATAATGACACATACAAATGACATAGCATCTTAATTGTCTTTCATGAAAAAACCCATCACTATTGCGCTAAATGTGTTGTCGATTGATTATTTACGCAGAAAAGATCCATCACCTTTTATGAGACAGAAACCACGTACTCAGATTTTACATATCCAGAAAGAGGGTCGGTCCTCTCGTGATCAGTTCTACACATCAAAGAAAAATATTTTTATATTTTTCTTTAAATGAGTCTTTAATGAAAGCCAACTCGACAGATTGACATTTTCAACCGAGATGGTAAAAAAATCAACCAGCTACAGGCGAGGGTAGTTTTGATTAATGTTTGTGTATCAAGGTCATGGGGATATTTTTGAAACCGATTATTTTGGATTTAAGGTGATAAAAAACCATCACTTCTGCAGCTGTTTGATCTGTAAGAAGAAAAATTATATAGAATCTGCCATTCTGATCTCCTTGATGTCAACTTTTAGAATATTATAGAACCAACATGTGTTATGAATCTGGGAACATTTTTTTTTATTATTGATCGAAAATTCCCAACAATAAGATTTCTGTCAAGTGTCTTTTGAGAGTTATAGTTGATAATTGGCTTTTACTGCAGCTAGAACTAATTAAATCTCTTCACAAAATTACACGGTAATATAGCGTTATGACACGCACAAGTCATTGACAGTTATACTACAATACAACAAAAGATTTTATGTTTTTTTACAACAGTTTTACATAAATATGAAATCCTCTTTTATTTTTTCCTCAAGGCACACAAGTTGAAGGCCACAAGGTAGAGTGGGCGAAAATCAGTGCAAAACATGTTATTTCTTTTTTACCTGTGTAAAGGTCTTTCCTGTAAAACCATAAATCATTGTTTTATAATCTTGGTTAGTCTGTAAAAGGAAGGAGATATAGACAGTAAAGGACTTGTTTGGGGTATTGTTTGTCCACGAGATTTACGATGAACCTCATAAGGAGTAAACAATTAATGGCTGTTGTAATGTTTTATACATGTAAATTATCACACACGCAAAAAACACATACATATTTTTGTGTGAATAATATATTCGTGGAGATGTCCCCTTGATGTACACATGTCAATTTAACAGATAGAATTAAATGTCATAAGTACTGAAGGCTGACATGTACAAAAAGACATTATTAATTTCATTTATATGCAATCTTGGGCTGTTTAAAGTCTGGTTAGCTTAACGAATTAACATAAATTTTCAAAATTAAATTTTTCAGTGAAATATCAAATTCTCTGTTACTTTTTTTTTGCCTCTCCTTTGTTTAGACATTATTTTGAATGTATATTTTGTTTCCGTTTCAACGTTTTTGAAATTACACTAGATGAAAGTTTAACTTAATGTTAAGCTAAGGATACTTTGACCATTGTGGCCCTGGTGATGATTTCTGTCGTACAAAGGTCTTTTGTAGGTAAACAATTAGAGTATTGTATCAATTTGATGGTGCAGTTTCTATGTCTTGGTTAATTGTGAGGCAAAGTCTAACTTCTCCAGGAAACATTTGATCTTTTTCTATTTTCTGAATTCTTCCGCAGTGTGTAATTCATTCAAGATACTGCCATGCTTCATCACAGGGATGATATCATGAGTTAATTTGTGGTTTGATTTGTGCCGAGGTAGCTAAGTAGCTCCACATGTCTTTATTTAATCCAAATTACACATTTATAATTTAATATAAACTCTACTACCATGGGAAAAGCACACGCTGACAAGGAGTAGTTCCTTAGCTGTAGTTGTTGAACTCATCTGTGGTTCATTCAATGGTACATAGAATGTAACTTTGCTATCAGTATATATATAGTAGCCTAGTCAAGGCTAGCATCACCTATATGGTACACAGGTGTTGAAAAACTAACGTTGCAGGGTCATTCTGTGGTATTTCTACTCTTTTTCCCCAATTTCTAAATTATTCTCATTCTTTCTTTGAAAAATTGACTACCATAAACTATTCTAACAATATATATATATATGTATACCAATGTCACCTCAAGCTGTGCAGAGTTACCTCCCCTTGTATACCAGCTTATGTGAGTATTTCAATGTGAATCTCAGACTGGCTTTTTATCTTAAAATTACGACTTAATTTCAGGGTGTAAAACATATCAAAAAAATGAGCACAAGAACCAATGAAATTAAAGTACAGCTCTGTAATAGATTTTACCAAGTAAAACCCTCCTGTTGGTTTGTTGGTTAGCAATATGACTGTTTTTTGTAGTGTATATATTTCAAACATATTTTATGTGATGTGATTTGCCATACGTTCACAACTCACCCTGTCAACAGCTTCATCCACATTGCAGTGTAAATCGATAAGAATTGCCTAAAGTGAACTCTGTCTAGTCCCATCCCTGTATATTATGACATACTATCCAACGTTGTGTCCGAGAGAGAGAGAGAGAGAGAGAGAGAGAGAGAGAGAGAGAGTGTGTGTCATATAAGACAGGTTTCATTGTATCAATAAATTTTCTTTCTATCATAACAAAATCAGATTAGTACAATTGAATAAATTGTGGTGAGCATTTTACTTCATAGCACATTTTGGTATACAACTAAAGATTGAGATTACACAAAGGACAAAATTCTACTGACTTTCAGTTTTGTCGAAAGGAAAACTCCATCTTTGCAAAAAAAAAAGAAATTGCTGAATGTATTATATACTTCAACTTTTTTTCACCTTTTTCCTATCAATGATGATGTTATCGTTTTACTGGCCTTTTAGAAGTGAGGAACTGTGATGATAAGTGCTGTGGTGTGTGTTGACTTACCTCATCGGCGACATTTACCACGTGGTACTGAGGCTGCGACAGGTGTAAATGGATGGCTCGATCTCTGTCACAATCTCACATCCCATCAGCATGGTCATATATCATATCGCACAGTCTCGAAAAACGTCATCCACTCCTAACGTGAAAAACTTCCGTAAAGCAGAGCTCTGGATTCTGTCAGTGCCAGAGTAGATCAGTTCTCAATCAAAAAAAAAAAATGTGTTTCGACTCTTGATTTGTCAAAAATTGAAGAAAAAACACTTGAGATTTATCAAAATCTGAAGGTGTTCAGTGAGACTTGAAAATTGAAATAAAACAGTAAGATTTGGAAGTATGAGTCGAGTGAACCATTGGTGTTTAGCTTTAGGGTACCCCTGTAGGCTGTAAGGGGGATGTGTAAATGCCCCAGACTTCTACATTAGCCAGTCAGCCAGTCTGGGCCCTTATTACTCCCAAAGTATATCACATCATTAGCACCTAAGGGATCTACCGGTTCCCAGGGAAATTATTTGTGCAAGCATATATTATCCTATGTTTATATTAATAACTAGGGTATAAACATGTGTGTCTCATGGAGCCAATGAAATCTGCTCGTTCATAAGTGCACACATGTGGCATTTCTTAAAGTTCAAACAGACCCTGTTTAGCACATAGACCTCCGATACTTTATTTTACATTACCGTACACAGTGTAAACGGAGATATCCTTCAGAATCACGTCTGGTATAATAAGGCTTTTGTAGTAGGGGCTATGACAGTTATATTCTTGTGAGATTGTTCCTGTAGTGTTGTAAACTTTGGCTGGCTTTATGACCCTGGCTGCCGGTGATAAGAACGGGATGTTGGTGGTTTGAAATCACCTCCAGTGGCAGATATAGTTTTTTTTTGTCGGGAGTTCTACAAATTATGTTTACACTTATAACCTGAAAGTATATCTGTAACGACTTGCCTGACCGGGGTCACATTTTATCACAAGACCTTTTTATATTTCTTTTGAGAACTGAGTAAATATAATACAGTAAGTCCTTCTTTTAATGAGCAAATGTTTTGAAACTTGTGCCAAATCCCCTTGATATTTTTTGCTCAATGGAACCTATTTGAATGAATCCTTCTTAAATTGATTCTGAGATAATCATTTGTGAATAATACTGTAAACAGGGAAACTTGGGCTCTGGCAAATAATCGCCCTTGAATTCACCGATGAAATCCATATTCGCCCGGTGTAAATTTTATCCTTCCGACATAATTCGTATTTAGGGTATGCTATGTGCTAATATTCGCTGACATGATAAATCCACCCTCAAATCAGGAGGGTGAAAAATTGAAAGTTATAGATAGTGGCAAAAATGTCCCGGTGTATACAGTATGCGATATTCTGGGTCCATTTTAGACAAGTTTCTCTTCTACCATTTACGGTTTTATACAGGTTTTAATCATCCTTCATAGACGGGTCTAGGTTATTAAGAGAAAGGTTTCTGTCCCTTGTCTCATTATACACAGGTTTCTGTGTAACCATTGTCTTTTATATGCAAGTTTCTATATTATCAAAAAAAAGTAGTACCAAATTACTGTATTTGTCAGTTTTTCATGTTAAAAAATATGAGAAGAATAATCAAGTGCCTGTCATAATTAAGCCCTCCAATGAAACCCTGCATGAGTATTGGGTTGCCTAGATGTGCAAGACACCTTTTGTATGGCAGTTGCACATCCAAGATGGCCACCACAGCCTCTGATTGGTTGAAATTTAGATATTGCCCAATTTCGATCAAAATTGGCATATAGGTGTTATTATGTTGTTATGAACACCATAGTGGCTTTCATTAGCAACATTACTGACGGTGCGGGTAGTTTCGGAGACTTCTGCAATGGCTGCCATTACAATCAGAACTTGTTACTAGATTGATCTCCTCGGTAGAAGGTTAGATATCATCAATAGTTTATAGATTAAAAAATGGATTATTACAATATGGATGACATGTGTGGTATGTTTGTCTGTTGCAGTCTGTTTGTGGAGCAATGTTTCAAGCCTTTCTCAGCAGACGTTGTCCAGGAGGGAGTGTACAAACGCCTGTGTGCCGAAACCAGCCAGTACCTCACCGATCTCACCATGAAGGTCAAAAAGTAGGTCACTTATAAGTTCGTGTTACATTGATGCTTAAGCTCATTGTGTCCAAGAATGCCAAAAAAGTCTATTACAATCTTGGACAGAATATTTGAGCTTTCTTATCTCTCAGAAAAGATTGAAATAGGAAACATTTGGCCTATCGTTAACTTGAGCAATTCCTTTTCTGCTGGTATTTCTTTTCAAGATGAGTGAAATAAACATTGAAATAAAATTAATAAATTATTAAATAAAGTGATAAAAATTATTAAAATATTTAAAGGGAAATAACTCTTACACTAATCCAAAGTACAAACACAACACATATGTGTCATTAACTACATGATGTGTTGTCAGCTCTAGATCAGAACAAATAAGACTTCAACAGTTGCATTCTTTAATAGCTTTTTTTTCTCATAAGAAGAATCAGCCCTACAAAATCAGCCCTTTCAAAAGTCCAAGGGAGATAACCCTTATAGATATTTTACAATTAATTTTGCCAGCGGTGAAAAGTATTTGTTCACAATCATAACATACAACATTAACAGTTATACACAAAAACTTAAGGGGGATTTCTCTAACAACTTTAGCAATTATCCTTTTTTCAGTCGTGAGAAAAACCTGAACACTGGTCTCCATCCTGACATACAGAGACGCATCAAGTTACCAGAAAGGGAGCTCAAGGTAGGCTTCCTATAGGGGCTAAGGATGTAAAGGGAGCTCAAGGTAGGCTTCCTATAGGGGCTAAGGATGTAAGGAGACCTCGAGGTAGGCTTCCTATAGGGGCTAAGGATGTAAGGAGAGCTCAAGGTAGGCTTCCTATAGGGGCTAAGGATGTAAGGAAGGATGTAAGGAGAGCTCGAGGAAGGTCTCCTATAGGGGCTTAGGATGTAAGGAGAGCTCAAGGAAGGTCTCCTATAGGGGCTAAGGATGTAAGGAGAGCTTGAGGAAGGTCTCCTATAGGGGCTTAGGATGTAAGGAGAGCTCGAGGAAGGTCTCCTATAGGGGCTTACGATGTAAGGAGAGCTCAAGGAAGGTCTCCTATAGGGGCTAAGGATGTAAGGAGAGCTCGAGGAAGGTCTCCTATAGGAGCTTAGGATGTAAGGAGAGCTTGAGGAAGGTCTCCTATTGGGGCTTAGGATGTAAGGAGAGCTTGAGGAAGGTCTCCTATAGGGGCTTAGGATGTAAGGAGAGCTTGAGGAAGGTCTGCTATAGGGGCTTAGGATGTAAGGAGAGCTCGAGGAGGGTCTCCTATAGGGGCTTAGGATGTAAGGAGAGCTCAAGGTAGGCCTCCTATAGGGGCTAAGGATGTAGGGAGAGCTCGAGGAAGGTCTCCTATAGGAGCTTAGGTTGTAAGGAGAGCTTGAGGAAGGTCTGCTATAGGGGCTTAGGATGTAAGGAGAGCTCAAGGTAGGCTTCCTATAGGGGCTAAGGATCTAGGGAGAGCTCGAGGAAGGTCTCCTATAGGAGCTGAGGATGTAAGGAGAGCTTGAGGAAGGCCTCCTATAGGGGCTTAGGATGTAAGGAAAGCTTGAGGAAGGTCTCCTATAGGGGCTTAGGATGTAAGGAGAGCTCAAGGTAGGCTTCCTATAGGGGCTAAGGATGTAGGGAGAGCTCGAGGAAGGTCTCCTATAGGGGCTAAGGATGTAAGGAGAGCTCGAGGAAGGTCTCCTATAGGGGCTTAGGATGTAAGGAGAGCTCAAGGTAGGCTTCCTATAGGTGCTAAGGATGTAGGGAGAGCTCGAGGAAGGTCTCCTGTAGGGGCTAAGGATGTAAGGAGAGCTCGAGGAAGGTCTCCTATAGGGGCTTAGGATGTAAGGAGCGCTTGAGGAAGGTCTCCTATAGGGGCTTAGGATGTAAGTAGAGCTTGAGGAAGGTTTCCTATAGGGGCTTAGGATGTAAGGAGAGCTTGAGGAAGGTCTCTATAGGGGCTTAGGATGTAAGGAGAGCTCAAGGAAGGTCTCCTATAGGGGCTTAGGATGTAAGGAGAGCTCGAGGAAGGTCTCCTATAGGGGCTTAGGATGTAAGGAGAGCTCTAGGAACGTCTCCTATAGGGGCTTAGGATGTAAGGAGAGCTTGAGGAATGTCTCCTATAGGGGCTTAGGATGTAAGGAGAGCTTGAGGAAGGTCTCCTATAGGGGCTTAAGATGTAAGGAGAGCTCGAGGAACGTCTCTTATGAAGCGGTATCTAATTGAAACTTGATTTTGGAGTTAGAAAGGAGAATCTTTTGCTAAATTTTGATATGATTCCAAAGAACAAGGGTATATGCTATTTTAGAATCTTACTCTAAGGTTTGAGATTTTCTGTGGCACCCCTAAAATAAGGAATGTTTCGTTTCATAATTACTGTAGAGAGTTTATTTTGAATTCATACACATATATGTACCTTAATTGTTTGTTTCTCTGCTTTGCTCCAAGGCAGATACATGTTTTACAAATTGAATGTCAAAGGTCAAAACATGCATTAGCAATAGTGAAGATTAGTAGTTTCTAGAACCTATCAATGTCAAAGTAATGAATTGAGGTCAAAGTTCAAATCAAAGTTTAGTTATCAAGAGCAAGCATATCATTCTTTATTCTAATGAAAAATGGTGTCAAAGTTTAAATAAATTTAAATTTCCTTTTTTTTTTATAAGTTCAATTTGAAACATCAGTTGGTACATATTTATATGTTGTACATTTTTTCTGGGCATGTTCTCAAGGTCGACATCGGGCATCATACCGGTAGGTTGATTTCATGGTGTTTTGTTCTCAAAGCCTCATAGACCTAATATATGTAGATACTGTACATTTTGGGATCTTCAGTCAAATGAAAAAAAAAAACCACCTAATATGATGGTATTTTATGAAAATTCTTGAAATGGTACATTGACATGGTATTTTGCTCTGTTTTGGGTAATAATTGTTTTTTAGAAAAAAGTAAATTAATGGTTCATTTCATATTTTAATTGTTTATTAGCTGTTTTATTATTAATACATTTTTTCTCTTCTTTTCATATACAGTTATCCATTCTGAATGCTGCTAAAATGTTGGACAAGTTTTACACCGAACGTGTCTTCCCGAAACTTTTGATCCCTGAAGTGGATTTCTGGGAAGGCAAAGGATTGGAATTTCGAGATTGGAGAGGTAAGTTCTATCAACAGTATTAATGCTCCCATCATGTATTGATATACTGTTGTAGTCGAAATTTTCGGGGTATGAAAATATTCACGTTTGTGTGCAGAGTTCATAAGCGCGAAATTATCAGCTTGTGGATATTTATTTAAAGATGGTACAGTTGATATTCTGTCTTTGCGTATTGCAGAGTTATCTTCTCTTGGGAGCAGGTATTGATTGTTACGTCACTTGTTTGTGAGAGTAACGTCATCAATTTTCTCGCAGAAACCAATGACGTAACACTCAATCCCTGCTCTCAAGAGAAGATAACTCTGTAATACGCAAAGACGGAATATTTCATGTATAGAGAACATGAAGATTTCACTATCCTATCCAAACATGGACATTTTAATTTCTATACCATGATTAGTTGAGAGAGTCAAGAGAATTTCCACTGTTCAGCGAAGCTCTTTAATGGTAACACATGTGTGCGTAAACAGGGTTGCTTCCCCTTTCTACACCATGCCTTTAAAAAAAAATCGTCCGGAAGTAGACATCCAGTGGGGAAACAGGAAGTGTATTCTTGAAGAAAAGACAATTGTGTTTCAACCCCATACATGAACATCTTCATATAGTGAAAACAATACCCATGTTTTATTGACTATTTATTGATTTTATCCCATTCTTGTAACAGGGGGAAGGGGGAATATTAGGTATTTCATTATATAGAAAATTCTACACTATCATGGAGACAATTTCATGTGAAAATGAGTCATTCTCCTTACCATTCAAGATATTTTCTATGTTAAGTATGCTTAAAGTCTGGATTCCTGTATTTCTTTCAGTTCTTACAATAAAATTTTAATGTTTAAAAAAAGATAACAATTGAAAGACATTCTAAATCTTCTATAAAGTTGATTTATAATAATTTTAAACTTTTTTTTTATTTAAAAAAAAGTCACAAAAAACAGCTAATGGATCTGATGATCCCTAAGACATATAATTTGTTTCTGCACTCTCTCTCTGTCAATTTTGTTTTGGTCTCCTTCGAAGTTTTTGTGAACATTAATAAGGATTTTAATTTACAGGATTGGCTAGCAAGAAATTCATAGAGGTCTTCTCCAAGACCTTCCTGATACCTTTAGAAGACACAGATAATCATTTTGAACTTGAGGTGAGTCAAAATTAACTGACATTGATGTGAAATACTGCAAAATTTTGTAAAATAATAATTGGAGGTTCTTATATATAACGCTTTATCACAACCTAGTTCGTAGGTCGTCTCAAAGCAGTTCACAAATAATTATCCGTGGTTATAGGACCTTTTGTAACCAGCCAACATCTTTCTCAATTCCATGGGGGGCATACAGCTGGTGCTGCCATTTCCGCGCTCACAGCTAGCATTCAACAATTCTAACGCTGCCCAACCATGTACTCATTTACAGCTGAGTAGACTGGAACAAGCGAAGTAAAGTATCTTGCTCAAGGACACAACACATTGCCGTGCCGTGGCTCGAACCTGCTACCCCCGGTCACTAGCCCGGCGTCCTACCACTACACTACCGTGCCTTCACTGTGTGATCTTTGTACCTTTGATATACCCAGTGCAATGACTGACATGAAGTAGATAATCACTCATAGATATGAAAAGAATACTTGATTTGTTAACACCTTAATTATGTCCTTCATGCTAAGATTTTTTACATTGATTGTAAAACTGCAAAGTACATCATAGTGCCAATGTGACAGTGTGAATTATCTCCCTTTCAGGTTAACCATATCAACATGGAGCGATATATGAAGATGCTTGCAACTGGTGACTTCCACGATGACCTTGACCTTGTCACAGAGATTCACACACCTTCTGGTAATTTAGGAAGACGATATTCTTTAGACATTGTATTTCGAGATATACATAAATGTACTACCGAAAAATGCAGAATTAGTCAGCAGGGACTCTTTTTTCTAATTTCCCCCCTACTTTGAATAACAGCAAATGTACTGTCAACTTTGTCGAAATAACTGACCTTTGGCTTATTTTCAAGGTCACAGGGGTCAACAAATGTGTTAAAAAAGAAATCCTACAAAACCATGAAGCCATTAGGGTCGTTATATTTTCCTTTCATGATCATATATTATCTATTTGTATTAGTTGGAAAACTGCCTTCTAGCAAAATTTACACAGAGTTATTTAATTCATTTAAGATCGTTAGACCTTAATGGGGTTTCTGTGTTCTAACAGGTGAAGTGACCGTCAAGGCACCACAGTTGGACCTCCATTTCTTCGACCCCAGCCAGGTCATCCTACAGACGACACGGTACCACACACCCAGGTATGGTCTCCGACTCGCTTCCTTTACGTCCTTATTAAAGGCCCTTGGTCAACAATTTCTATCCAAGGAAAAGATTGAGCCGCCCATCATCTGTGGACAACGTCTTCATTTGATTTTGTTCCAAAAATGATAAAATCGCAATCAAAATATCTATCAATACAAGGAAAAGATGTATTCAGTGTTTTTGATAGGTGGCAAAACATCTTTTCTACAAACAACCACATATCAGAAGAGATGTATGATAACCTGATTCACAAATATGTCTGGTCACCGTACAGCATATAATTTTCGATTATAGTTAAGGTTATCGGTGGAATTCTTGTGATCTGTTGAAAGAAAAAAAGGTACTGAATCGCAAAATGTTTATTTATAGATATTTCGGTGAATTTGTAAACTAGAGCTGGCTTACGAAATGTTCAAATGCCAACCATGAGCAGTGTATAAAACAAACTATTTACAGCATAATCTCTGTATAAAAAGGCTATTCGACATTAGTACCACACGTATTATAATAACAATCAATACGGTCAATTATCAGGTTTTGGTGGTTTGGAAATTACAGAGGTCCGTCATTTTATCTTGTACAGAATCTTTGATCAGACTTTGAGAACATGCACTATAGTGAGGTTTAATGTTAATTAAATCAATGGCATTAATGTAAGTTCACACCATTCATCATAGTCTCGGCAAGGGGAGGATTTAATCAAAGTAGTAACTAAAAGTAGTGTAACTCCAGTGTGGTAGGTTTAGATTTGACTCTCATCAGTGTTTGGGAAAGTACATATATTGTTACGATGTGTATGAAGTTTTACGCATTCACCCCTGAAGACACATTTGAACACGCCATAAAATGGGGGGGGGGGGCATAAAGTGTTGCCCATGTTCGTCCCGTCCCAACCCCATTCAATGTAAAACACCCGTCCTATCGCCTCCCGTCCCCGATTCAATGTAAACACTTAGCAACTTCATTCTTTGACAGATTTTGGTCAAACCTTATATAAAGGTACAACCCTCCGTAAAATGGTGGGGCATATAGTGCTGCCCATGTCCGTCCCATCGCGTCCCGCCCCGTCCCGATTCAATGTAAACACTTAGCAACTTCATTCTTTAATGGATTTTGGTCAAACTTTATGCAAAGGTCAAGTATGAGTATACTTCGGACATTGTTGTTTTTCAGGGTTCCAAGGCAAAGATAACTGTTGCTATATATAGAAAATCATCAACTCACGTATTAGCAACTTCATTCATTATGTTATGGAGATGGTAATAACATACGGAAAAAACATATGAATATTAAAATCAACTCATCAACTCTAAGTGTAGTACCTTGTGTGTGTGCATGTTTCAGGGTACGGCAGCGGGGGCATTTATATCTTACAGACATTTTCTAGTTGAATGAAAGATTTCATCAATTTTTTTTTTTATATTTTTTTTTTTATTATTTTCAGGTCAAGGTCCAAACCGTGGAAACCAGTTTTGAAGGAACTTCAGTTTGACAAACTGCAGATACCCTTACCGATCCCCCATCCTGTGGTTATAGCTGTGCTCATATATAACAGGTTAGTTAATATATAACAAGTTAGTTAATAAATAACAGGTTAGTTAATATATAACAGGTTAGTTAAAGGGATAATTTAGTGAAGTAAGTTTTTTATAACCTTATCACAGAATTCTTCATGATAATATAGTTTGATACTCCTTATGAGCGATTTGTGTTGAGAAATTGCCGAAAGGCAATGTTTTCTTGGCGTTTTTAATCCGTAATGGAGAAATCCTTAACTGTACAGACGTACGTTTTAACGACAGCTGTCGGTGAATTTCTAGCTATCAAAAATGTCTTTCCAGCCGAGGAGAGAAGGTAAATCTTCGCTTTATTCACCTAGCCTCCGAAAACAAGTACATGCATTTATTCTAATCAAAATCATCTTTAAACAGCGCTTCGAACATTGTTATAAATGAGTGATCCATTTTACATTTAATGCCTGACTTAACCGACATCTTGGCTATAACTCGTCCATCCTGAAATTTCATAATGCGCTATTCCAGCCTTTGAATTGGAATGGTTCAAATGTCTTCAGGGGTGAATGAGTTAATGACGTCATGTCATTTATAGTGAAACCTGATTTTACCGACACTTGCCTTTAAGGACATCTGGTAATATACAGTGAAACCTGACTTTGTTGACACCTGGCTTTAATAACATTATGTGAGATACAATGAAACCTGACTTACCGAAATCTGATCATGTCTTGGAGGCCATCCTGTAATATCAAACGTGATCTTATGGACAGAAAAGACCAGATTCTCTCTTTAACCTTGACATATGCTACCATGACTTTCATATCCAATACAATGATTCAGTCCCCTTGATGTTGGTAAAGACAGGTTTCATTGTATAGATTGACCCTGGGTGAAAGTCTCCTTAACACCTATTCTGGTTATTACAAATATTTCATCAAATCAGAAATGACAACCTTCAGGTGGCAACATCTACCAACAGTCAATCTGCACCTCAAGGGAGGTAACTCTATCTAACTGGCCTCCGGTATAAGTTACCTGTATTCTTCTACTTCTGTAAACTACAATGAGTAAATATAAAAGGTCAGTGTGCATCTTATATTGTGATAATAGTTGTAATACCCCTGTCCCCCGTTTCAGGGGTCAGTCATCAAAGTTAATGATGTTGTCTTAAGTCAGAATTAAACTGAGGCAAAAATATAATTATAGCAAAACTTATTCAGCGACATTTAAAATATGAAAATATAAACCGATCAGAAAGAAAAAACTGAACCCCTCAGAGTAATTTGGTAATTAGTATGCGACACAATATCAAAATTAAACTTGTACAGGAGCTGAACCCTGAGTAGCCAACAACCTTAAGCAATGCTATTTGGACAGATCCCCTACTATTTGATACCGATGTTAACCTCCGAACTTTTAATGTTTCAGAGACCACGACCAGAACCCCATTGTGTACGAGGATGTGTACTGTCAGCGGATCCTGCGGGCCACCAAAGAGGTACCTTTTGTTGCTATGGGAGAATCTGTGTCCTCGGACATGTGTGATATCGAATTGAGTACTCCCGAAAATACGATAGACTCTGAACAGACCTTCTGTCACTTAGCTCAGCAGGAGAGAACTTTCTCCGAGGAAAACATGACATACCCTTTCAATCACAGCCCCGTTCCTGAAAGACGCGTCCAAGTTGTGGTCCATAGCATGTTAGACAGATCTGAGGGTCGGGGGAGGGCAAGGGGCAAAGGTCGAGGGGCGGAGCAAGAGAAAGATGATGGACAGGCCCGAGTTGTCTACGCAGAAAAAGAAAAAGACAACAGTTGTGTCGTTAACTTTAGTGATTTTGATAATGGCGATGATGACCCAGCGATGGTGTGATTTTTACGGAACTGGGTCAAAAATTGAAAGCACAACTCGATTCAAGGGGGAATTATTCTGAAAATACTTCCAGTATGCAAGTTTGCTCTTTGAACATGAATTTCCTCTAACAGAGGTGTAGTGAAAAAAATACCATGTTGGTGTACTGTATTGCACGTTGGTGAAGTTAACACCACCGTATAGGTCAGTTTGACCTCTCTGTGACCTCCAGTGGCTAATCACTGGGGAGGCTTGCCCGCCTCTGTAGGGTGTTCAAATCGCTGTGAAGATCTGGAGGTGAAACACCTTCTGAGGATTGTGCAATGAGTGACAGTCCTACGTCTTTCACACCCGAGTTTCTGCAGTTTGACTGTCTCTACCTTGACCTTTAGAACTGCGAGAGAGTCGATATATTCACGAAAAATATTATAACAGTACGCAAGGAGTATCTACGCTATTTTTGCTATGTTTATCTTGCGCTACTAGAAACCTATATGTCAGTATTTTTCGCTTGATTGCCCGCGAATACTGGACCAACATCCACCCCCAATTAATCCCGTCCTTATTTGTTTGGAGAGAAAGAGTTAAGTATTCAACGGAAATATGACAACAACAGGTCTGAGGTACTTGTGCTATTTTTGCATTATTTTTGCAAATATTAATTTTCCTACTAGGAACGCATACACAATTGAATTTACACACAGCTGAATTGTTGCTCCTACCCTTAGCGTCTCAACCTGTGGCTTTGATCAGAATGGAAGACCGTGAGAGAGAGAGAGCGAAAGAGAGTGAAAATTGGGGTCCAGAGGTGTTTTATGAGGTTTAGGGACCCCTTACCCCCTTCCACAGCCACTCCCCTCCACCCCACCTCAGCCTGTGAATTGTCTTTTAAAAACCATTTATCTGGACTTGACCCCTTTCTGATCTGGACAACATTATATACACAAACTTGTAAATCTCATTTATAAACATTTCTCTTCGAAATAGTCAAAGTAATTTCTTTGGGGATTTGATTCTAATAAAAAATATATATATTCACCCTCATTAGCAATCATGTTCTGTTCTGGATAAAATAGATAATATCCATTTTTTTTATTTTTATTTTTAAATCATGCTTTATTGATACGTTATGTCATTCTTTTATGCAAATTAAGTAAATAGAATATCCCAATATCATATATAGTATGTTGGTAAGTTAAGACTGCATGTGGATATTGAGTATTATTGTTGTATTTATAGTTTCACTATTGTGACTTTCGCTTTCAAATCTGTTATACGTCCATTTATAAGCGTTTATATATTCTTTCAACAACCACTAATTTTCTATTCATTTGTCACAAGAATAAACTGTTTAGGAGTTGAAGTGATCAAGGTGTTAGTTTGACCGCTGTATCTTAGCAGCTACAGAAACAGACAGAGAATCAGACTTTTACTAAACCTGCTGTTTTTAGCCAAAACAGTGTTAATGGTCATTATTTAAGCAAATGCCTCATAAAAAATCATTAAAATCTGAAGATCAACCTGTCAATTTTCAATAACACTTGGTATGGTAAATGTCATCTAAAAAAAAAAAACATGTTTTCTTGAAACTTGGTATGATATGTCTTTAGGGCACATAGATTCAAGTTTGTTCAGCAATATTTAGAATATTGAAATCTGGTACAATTTGTCTCTAGGGCATGCGATACATTTGTAGTATTTTAGGGTTGAGAAGCTTATCATAATTTCCCTGAAGATAAAGATCCAACTAAATGTTTTGCTGTCACTAGAAAAATATCAAGTGTAATTGTCCAGTATGAAAAACATTCTGATATTTCTTATAAAAAAATAAAGAAACTATCAGACATATCATTTAAAAAAAATTAGAGCACAGTTAAAAAATTTGTTTCGCAATTACTTTAAGCCAATTTAACATTAAAGCTGAAATAGGGAAACAATTTTCGCTCGTCACAACGTTTATACCTCAAGGGTCTTAAGGGTCCTCATACCACTGCCAAAAGTTGTAACGAAGTATTGGAAACTGTTTTTCTCCAGCATGATAATAGCTATGATAAATCATTTCTGAGAAGAAAACCATACCTTTGCAGGAATTTTATGAGAAACAATGATAACGATAAATGATATAATAATAATAATAATTCAAGATTCTTCTATACCGCTTTATCACAAACCAGATCGTAGGTTGTCTCAAAGCGGTTCACATATTATTATCCGTGGTTATAGGGCCTTTGTGACCAGCGAATATATTTCTCAATTCCCTGGGGAGCATATAGCCGGAGCTGCCATTTCGGCGCTAACAGCTACATGTAGCCTTGAACAGTTCTAGCACTCCCCAACCACGTACTCGTTTACAGCTGAGTAGACTGAAACAAGCAGAGTTAAGTATCTTGCTCAAGGATACAACATCAGTGCAATGCCTTGACTCGAACCCGCAACCCTTCGGTCACGAGCCAGGTGTCCTACCACTAGACTACCATGCCTCTGCATTATAACAATAATTTGAGGTTCTTATATACTGCTTTATCACAACCTAGGTCATAGGTCATCTCAAAGTGGTTCACAAAATATTATCTGAGCCTTTGCAATCAGCCAATATCTTTCTTGGAAGCACACAGCCATATATGCCATTTAGGCGCTCACAGCTAGCATTCAACAAAAAATAATCGATTAGAGTGTTTTGATTGTAAAAATTGAGGATAGACCGGGATTGAAATCCTGGACATCAGATTGGTATACTATCGCTCTAACTGGTTAGGGCACCTAGGTTACTGAAGTGTCCTGTCCCAGCTGTGCTACAGTTATATCCAAGAAGTTAAGGGGAGGTTACTGTAGAAAGAAAACACCACAGAGCAATGGGACAGGGGTCCTTAGGTACACCATATTTTACCCGTCTGCTTGATTTGCACATGAATGCTCAGGTAAATTTTACTTGACCTGTCTTGAAGTAGACCTGTCCTGTATCCATGCATACAAATCACATTTCCCCAGTACAGCTTGTATTCCAACAAGGGGGGGATTTTTCAGCGGGACACCGTCTATATAAAAAAAAATGTTTGGATCATTTTGCATCTGAAATAACTGTTAATTCAGACACCTTTTTCTGAAAAATAGAATCCCTTCATTAATAAAATGGGTATTTAAGCTTTTTTATACAGATACAATCCCGAATCTTACCAGTTCAGAAAACTAGTGTTTCAGAATGTGTTTGTCCGGTTACATAATGTTCCACTGCAACTGATATCAGTTTCATATATTTCATAAATCTCTGATTCAATTCATGATTATGAAATGTGCAGTATATTTGGCACATAAGATTCTGAAACGTTTTTAAGGGTAAAGGGTACTTATAACATTTATCTAGTCTTGATTTTTTGTCTTCCCTGTATCTTTTTCAAGTTTGCAATAACTGTAACCTGTGTTCGTGCCAGTATTAATCATTTTACTCATCCTTTTTTTTTTTTTTTTTTAAGTAAACGCATGTTTTGTTGATTGAATGTGTTCGTTAATTAAACTCAAATATTTTTTATTCAAAATCTCATTTTATTTTTAATACTCCATTTATGATTTTTGTTGTAGTTGAATGTTTTGCTTTTTTATTTTATTTTTACTGCGGTATATTTCGCGCTTTTCCCCCCTGACTTGGCGCCATGCTAATTAATATACAATGTTAGTTTTATTTTGATACAATAGAATTGCATGTGTAGAATAGATCCTAATAATGAACGATCGGAAAAGTTTTTGAAAATCATTAAAATTTGTTTCCTGTAAACAGACACAATAATATAACTGTGAAGAAAAATAAATGCTAATTTTGTTTTGAACACAATCGGTAGTTGAAAACTGATTTTGCCAGCATTTGAAAAACATCTGTTTCTTTTGTCGAAGGATCGTTGAAAGTATTTGTTGACAAAGCTAGGAAACAGATGTTTTCGAAAGCTCACAAAATAAATTTTCAATTACCCTTTGTATTCAAACAGGAGTTTAGACAGAAGTGTAGTCAGTTGAGTGCAAATTGAATCTTTTTCTTGGTTTCGTGTGCTGTGGTAAAAAGATTCATTTCTACGGGTAAAGGTACAGGTCCTTTACTTTTACAAAAATCTGTACTGTACATTTTTTAATGTTCTGAAGAAAAGCTCCACTTCCTTGTCCCTTCCCTCCAACCCAACCCGACCCGACCCGACCCGACCCAGGACTGGCCCTCCCGGATCTTTCTCATCCCCTAGTGTCACTCAACATAAACTGAACATAACATCTGTCAGTAAAAGGGACACACAAAATTGACAATTTGCAGGGTGTAAAATTCCACTCGCCCAACACGTATGGGGTCGTTTCTTTTGAAACTTGGCTAATACAATATTTACGAAGAAAATCTAGATGAGGCTAGTAGTAATATTTTCAAAATCTGCCTGGAGACTAGTACTCCAAAATTATAATTGCACACCACAGGCTATTATATGAATAGTTGCAAGAGTTTGGTCTAATTTCATTAAAAGCATGTTACGTTTAATTATGACAGTTTGTTCATGCATTGTTGCTTGTAATTTGCTTTGCATATCCGTTTACATGTATAAAACAGTCTCACGTACATGTTTGGCTTTTTTTTTGTTGATTTGTTGTTTTTATTATACTTGCATGATAACATGTGTTCTGTTAAATTTCGTTTTTTTTTTTACAAACTATGCAATTTTCAGGTGAAGGCCCAACCAGAGTGAAGTTGCTGCGGGGTATCTTTTACCGTTCTACACTGTACAGTATAATTGGTTGCCTTTATAGCTCTGACGTGTTGTAACTCTATCTGCACTCTCTAATTCTACCATGTAAAATTGTACTTTTTTATTAACCAAGAATAACCATGTCATTGTTCAATGACCATGTCATTGTTCCAAGAGATTACATACAGCAAATCCTTGTTATACTGTCACCGTTTTCCAACAGAAATATTGATTGGCATTATAAAGGGGATTCATTTGATAATAAATAAGTTTAAATGAATTGCTAAAAAGAAATTTGGAGAAATTATCAAGGGAGTGGTAAACATTTTTTTTTTTTTAAATTAATACTTTCGACAAAGGTACATTGACATAGAATGACATCAGAAGAAATGGCAGTTTAAAAGATTGGCGTTATAACGGGGTTTTACTGTACATATTGGCATTTGAGAAGCTCGACAGGCAATTTCTGGTCATGATAAGTATTCAGTAATTCACATAAAAAATTGAATTGGTCTTATATAAATGTTATATATATCTACCCTAATGTTTGGATACAACCAATTTTAGTTACCACATCTGGTAAAAGATGTATCTTTTAGTCGTTGAAATTTAATCTGATTTTTCATATGATTTGCATAATATCTATTATTCTAAGGTGATGTTTCAACAGCTATAAAATTTTGTCGGAATTGCTCAAACATTTTTGGTTAAAAAACATGAGGTTCCGAAATATCCCTGTGATTTGTGCAGAAGGTATGTGTATATAAAAACATCATGGTGTCCAGAAACAGACATGGCACCATTTAAAAAAGGGACTATTGTATTTAAATAATTGACCTTGATAAAGGTCACACAGAACAACTAGACAGGAAGTAGGGACAGAGCATGTCCTCTTGTTATCTCTTGTGTCCTGTCTGTTGTTGCAGTTATAACATTACTTAGTTACAGAAGAAAGTCTTCCTTGGTTTCTAGAATGTATATTGTTTTGTAATTGTTCGTTTGACTTCACAAAGTGTTATGGCTTACTAAAGCAATTTTACTTTCTAAAATATGTCGACCTTCATCAGATGAATGTAAACCTATGGAAATTTGACCTTTCTGTCACAAAAATGGACATATTAGGTCCTTTGCCTGATGTATGTGTGACAACAATAGAGTCACTTTGTCTTAATATTTTGTTTGTCTGACATGCACTGACACCATCAGGGTGAAAATAACAATTTTGTAAGTCTTCGGACAAACGAAACAGCAACACGGTCCTTAGCCTAACGAACATGATGGTTGAAGGCTAGGATTCACCTCATTCTATTTTGTCACTTTTCAAACAAATGGGAAAACAGGTTGAAGATATTTTATTTGTTCAATCAACATGTGTTAAAATATGTGTATTTCAGATTTGTCTTGAGGAATTAAGACATCTGTCAAATTCACCTGTTATTGTCATAGCTCAAGGAGGTAGAAATGGCCAATTAAATCCTGCTGATTTTAGCTGTGGTTGAGTTGGTCCTTTTAAAGAAGGGTTCTCTCTGATTTCTTAAATATACATATATAAGCACTTCTCTGAAGTTTTCTATATTAAACATTAAAGTGATTAAATAACAAACGAAACTGTAAGTATATGAATCAGAGCATGTTTCAAAATCCCAGCCAGGCTATAAGCTAACTTAGGGTCATGCAGTTTCTGTGTGTTCTACAAGGATGTTTTTACTTTCAAATGAAAGGGTCACAGGGTTTACCTTTAATTGCCTCAACATGTACTTTCAATACACACAAACACAATTAGAGGTTTGTGTTTTAGTTTAACAAATCATATGTTACATGGTTTTGTTAAATTCATACTAGACGTAGGGCAAATTTAACGAAGCCATGTAATGGATGACTTCAATCAGTTTATGATCAGTCTTCAGGTTTTAATTTTATTCTGCTGTTAGTATTAATGGCTAGTTCAGAACTTTCTTGATGTTAAAACATATGTAACCATAAAATTTTGTATCATATTAATTTTGAAAATATTGCCTAAAAATATTGTAAATATATTTCAGAAAAGTATTTGATACCTTGTAAGATAGCCATGAATTAAATAATTCTTGAATGTACATATTATTGCATGTTTAATCATGTCATGAAAACTGGGGTCACCTATTTATAAAACGTATTTTGTAGACATAAAACCAGAAATATTTATCACTGTCCTAACGATTGGTTCTTCGAAACACTTTTGCACAATTCAGCATTATAGTATTCAAGCAAACTTCGTTGGAAATCATGGTATGTCTTATCGGCAAGATCTTTGAATGCTTGTGCACAATTCAACACTTCTAGTATATTCAAGCAATCAGCACTGGTAGATGTCACAGCATGAGCGCAGAAGACACAAACTACACAAGTTATGTTTGCATGATGTGTACATTTCTTCACATGTTTGCATTGTTTGGTCTGATTTTGCATGCTTTTAGTCTTTCCCTGTAGACCAGAGAATACACTTGTGGAGTACGCCACACGGTCAAAGGGACATAACCCTTGTTCTTTCCTTCTCTCTTACAGGGGAAGTAACTCTGCTCCCCTTTAATCTTCTTGTAAGCTCCCCTATAGTTGAAGCATACTTGCTAAAATCATGCGACAAAATCTAAAAATGAAATGTACGAAATATTTTTATGATGACCCTTATTTGACAAAACAACAGTCACTAGTGCGATAGAGTTTACTTTTCTATGCAATTAATTGTAACTAAAAACAAGATACAATGTGTAGGGAAAATCTGCTGATTTCAAAAGTCAAAAAATGAGAGTGATAAATTTGGAGTCCCCCTCCAATATACAGAGACTTAGTTAACATGTTTAAGCATTGTCATAATTTCCTTTGTGCTTCACTGCTTATATTAGTAGGGACAAAATGATTGTTTTAAGAAGAAAAATTTAAGAAAAATATGTTTAGTGTTAATTTCATGCTGTGTGTATATTTCACTTTCAATGTGAATGGAAATGGGATTTTTATATTTTGAATTTTAAGTGATTTCAAACCATTCAATATACTCAATACATAGATGTAGGTTGATTTAATATTTACTTTTAGGGAAAAAATGTGCTTATTTGTACATAATTGGCAATATAGATGTTTTATCTCTTAATTGCACACAAAAATTAATGTTGTCATTTATAATTTTTTTGCAACGAGGTTTATGATTATTTTGTGCCTTGCTAAATTTTGGCGGTATTTTAGGATGACTATCTCTAAATCCTATTGAATGGTTGTGATTTCTGCTTGTGCTGTCCATAGTACAAATTACTGTTCTGTATATATATAAGGCCGTACATGTACAGTACATAATCTATTTTAAGAAGCATAATATGCGGAACAGGCAAATATTGTTTAGTTTTATGTACCAGGTGAAGGATAGGTGTGAGAAACATTGGGAGACATTAAGAAAAACATGCTGAAGATTGATATAAGAATTTGTACTTTTAGCTCACAATGATTGCTTGATTTGATTGATATATATATATATTGTATAACAATGCTTCCAGAAGTCCTTATTTCCTTGTGAGAGGCTACTTGACAATTTCATCAGATAGGAAAATGTTATCTTTTCCAATTTTTCATATTGATTCTATGAATTTTAATAGTAAACATTTAGGATTGTTTGTATATTGGATTGAAAAAAAAAAAAGATGCATTGTAAATCATCTTTTGTTTACTTAGAACAAATTAACATGTAATTTTTTTCCACTTGATGAATAACCATATTCCCAATATCTGTCTTCTTTATTTCTTCCGTCATTTAACATTACAGTTACTGTTCATTTGCTTATTTTCTGTGAGAGACTAATTTGATCTTGAATTGGCTTGGAGACTCATTCATTCCGATTCATGAATTTAAATCTTTTGCATATACTGCCTATTGTATTATTTACAAAGATCATTAACTTTGACATTGAACTAGCATCATCTTAACCCTTTCACCACTGTAGACCATAATGGACTCATCCAGATCAATGCATGGTAGAGTCTACTAAAGTTACCTAGGGGTAAATTTAAATATTCATGAGTAAAAAACCTGCTAGTCTTAGGATTGGGAGTTCATAGATTAAAAGTACATGCAATATTATAAATAGAATGGGATTGATGGTACTTGATCTGGCCTCGGTCTGTTTGTAAGATGCTTCATTCACAAATGAATAAAAATACATTATTAATGTTGGTTTCAGTAGATGATTTAGCGTGCTGTAACACCTCCTTATAACAATAACACAAAATTCAACTTTTACTAAAACATCTGTGATGTGAACAATTAAACAAGAGTTTAAGGTAGAGAGTCCCACCATTTTTCTACTGTATACAGGTTTAAGGTAGAGAGTCCCACCATTTTTCTACTGTATACAGGTGTAAGGTAGAGAGCCCCACCATTTTCTACTGTATACAGGTTTAAGGTAGAGAGTCCCACCATTTTTCTACTGTATACAGGTTTAAGGTAGAGAGTCCCACCATTTTTCTACTGTATTCATACAAAAAAAAAATGATGGGTTGCATACTTTGCAGACAGCATGACTGATAGGACATTTGATATGCTTTCTGCATTATAATTAAGTGATTCATGGGTGGAATCTCCTAAGAGAGATGTTTTAGTGAAAAGTAAAACAAAATGAGCATATTTCTTCCATATGTTTAACTCCTTGATATATAACATTGGAAAGCAACTCCCAAGTCAGAAAAAAAAATGTCCATCAGATTGGAGTTCTTTTTCGTTGGAGATTTAACACAGAACACTGGGACTTTCTACCTTAACTAATTATATTGTTAATTATTGCTTATAATGCTGTCAAATTTTTCTTCATTAACAAGAAATTTTCTCATAGGCAATAAAAATATATAATAAATAAATTGTTTATGGCAAATTAATTTAATAAATTAATAAGTCACCTGGAGTTCAGTTTAAAGGAGGTGAACATCATCATTACAGGGAAGTTGAAATCAATATCATAACCTCATTGCTTTTATAATAGGACCATCATTCATCTTTAAGTATTGTTACAATGATCTTTCTGTTACAGTAAATCACTATTTTTTTGTGAGATTTATATTTTCTCAGTAATACTTGGGTAGGAATTATCACAAATTTTATTGTGTCATTGAATTTTTTTCCAACAAGCTAGGATGCACACTATATATAACAATTATTGTTCCAAAAAGGATAATATATCATTGTTGAACATATATTGATCATTATTCCCTTTGTGAGTACAAGTCCTTGAAAATAAATAAATAAATAAAAAACAGGAAAATAAATATTTATGAAAAATATTTGATTTACAGCATCCCTATTGACCATGTAAAATATTTCTATGATGATGTTAAGTTTTTATTTATATTTATCAATATCTCGTACTATTCCGTTGGGAATAATAGGAAAAGATTCATTTTTACAGCCTTAAACTTCAATTTAGAAACAATCAAGCATAATATTTCTATAGAAATGTACTCTGTTTATGATCTTGTGTTGATATGCCTTTTTTTTCTGCTGATATTTTATTTGGGAATGAAAATAAATTAATATGATTGTCAGTGTTAAAGATTGTAACTTGACAAACTATACTATATCACCCATTATCTTTCCATACTATATATCATGGTGCTATTTACTCATGTTAGCCTCTCAGTTTCTCTCTGACTCGTTTCCCCTATTAAATAACATGACATTATCAATTATGCACTAGTGAACTATAAGTTGATGTATATCATGTATTTGTTATGTTAGATTTTTTTCCATGCCATATATATTTACTGGTATATATATATATATATATATTAATGTGAAATACACTGATGACACTTACTTATTTTGACCTTTGACCTTTGAAATTTGTTATCACGAATCTCAACCGAATGAAACAATACGTTCTACTCTTTATGACAGTATATTCCGTGAACATCAGCTGTGAAAAAAACCAACTTGCATAATGTCGTGGACAACCCGTTTTCAGTCCTGTCCAAGCGTAAAATTTTGACATATTTTGCCCTTGGAAACACAAAATAACATAAGAAATTTTATTCTGACAATTGGTTTTGTAAGGCTTTCTTGCCACTCGCAAGTGCTTTGATAAAGCATTTTACTCCCTTACATAGTAATCAAAAGCTTGCCAACTTAGAATAATATCAAGAAATGATTGGTTTGACAAGAAGACCAGCTCCATCTGTAAGTTTACTGTGTATATGATGGATTCGTACAGATTTGCAGCTTCAAGTGCATTTTAGCTGGCAATTTTTTTCCAACCTAAAATGGCCATGTGATATAAGGTAACATTACTCATAAAGATATGCTTAATTGCATTGGAGCTTAAAGAAAATTGACGTACGCCAGAACTTGAGGGTTAAAAGCAGTTGAAAATTGCTGTAACCAAGTTAAAACTTGAGGTTGGTTGTAAATCAGATACTTAAATTGAAGAAAAAGAAGGACCCTGAAAGCAGGAAAGAAACTCTCAATGATAAATGAGGGAGGGGTGCTTAAAATCGAAGGCCTTTTAGGAAAAGGGAGGGAACCTTCAACAAAAATGGTAGGTATATGACATTGCCATGATATAGATACATGTAGAAGAATGGAGTACAGTAAGGTTTTGCATCGATGAAGTTCTATAATGTACGGCTGTGTCTTCTGAGGTTGAATTCAAATTTGTACTGAAACTTATATCAGAGAATATATTATGATTACTAAGTTAACACCTTGAGATTAACCAAATCTATATATATATATAGTCTTTAGTAAGATAATGACAACATGTATATGATAATGATGATGAGTAAAATATGTAAAATAATAAATATGCTGTGTTGTGTGGTGTTTTATATCTGAGGAATTTTTTTCTAACAGGTAATTGGTGTTCATATGAATGAACTTTGGTTCTATCTCACCCCTGCAGGTCGGTGATTGAGAAAAGAACATACCTGCGGTTACCCACTTCATGGTGTAAGAGGTAACTAATGTGGGAACCCCCTGCAGAATTGGGGATTTGCTTTTGTGCCCAGTACACAAAGGTGACCAACATTATTCTGCTGCCCAAATCGGAGCATTTTGGATCTTCCTATTTGTTCTCTGTTTCTGGACAACCTTTACATGTGTTTCCTAGCACCTTCCTTGGCAATGCCTTGATTTTGGCCTTAGTGTTGAACTCTTGCCTAAGTGAGGAAGGCAATGGGTTCTTTCCTTAGGGTGGGACATACCAAAGTCCTTGAAAATGGTAGTTGTTATTCTCTGCTTAATGTTCAACATTTTTAGTGATGGTTTGGTTTGGTTTTATTTCGTTTAACGTCCTTTCAACAGCTAAGGCCATTTTTAGGTCACCTGAGCTTTAGCTCAAGTGACCTATTGCTATCCGTTTTCGTCCGTCGTCGTCCGTCGTCCGTCGTACGTCGTCCGTCGTCCGTCGTCCGTCGTCCGTTAACATTTTACATTTCAAACTTAAAGTCAAGTTCTGCTGGGCCGATTGAACTGAAAGTTGATAGGAATGATCGCCTCATGGTCCTGACAAAGTGTTGTTATTTTTCGGGTCGATCAGAAATCCAATATGGCCGCCACGGCCGCCATTTTGAAAACCTATTTCAAACTTAAAGTCAAGTTCTGCTGGACCGATTGAACTGAAAGTTGGTAGGAATGATCGCCTCATGGTCCTGACAAAGTGTTGTTATTTTTCGGGTCGATCAGAAATCCAATATGGCCGCCACGGCCGCCATTTTGAAAACCTATTTCAAACTTAAAGTCAAGTTCTGCTGGACCGATTGAACTGAAAGTTGGTAGGAATGATCGCCTCATGGTCCTGACAAAGTGTTGTTATTTTT